CATCTGTGTAGGGGCTTAGGCTCAACCCCTGCATGCTTTTTGGTTGGTGGTTTGATTGACTACCACCGGCTTGGGAATCTATAGGATCCAGTCTCCCACAGACACTGAGGAAGGACTGTAGTTGGTATTTTATTCCCCAGCACACAGCAGATCAGAGTGGGAGAAGGGAAGTCATGATGCTCATGGGATATTTGTGGTCCAGTCAGGGGAGCCCCTCCTCCCTTCTCTGATACCAGGAACATCAAGGCATACAGATCTTTCTAGAAACTGAAGTTCTAGGGGCCTTTACTCTGAACAACCTGAGTGTCCTGGAGTAGTCCCAATATCTGCCTCAAGTGTAGAGAGCTAGCAGCTGGCTGCAGACCACCACACTACCCTGGTTCTCCTCATTCTTTGGGTCAACTGGGGGTGGAGGGGCAACAAAGACAAAGTGTCATGGCCTGTGGCCCAGACTCAGGTTGTGTGTCACTTGTATTTCTTCACTTGAGCGTGGACGGGGTCACCAAAATCAGAGTTTCTGATTCTAGGTGTTCTGGATGTGAGTTGGGGGTATCTGGGAACTGGGGATATTTTTGGACCCGCATTCTTCCTCCATCTGGCTGTTTGAGCTGGGCTGAATGACATTTAGCCCATCTCTGACCTCGGCTTGTCATCTGTCATTTAGAAGTTATAGCTCATTTCTCTGGCCCTTCTCTAGTTCTTCAGCGTAACAATTGTTTCTTTGCATCATGACATGAGAGGGAATTAGCAGGGTCAATGAGATGATCTATGTTCATATAACATTGGACAATCTATGAAAAGCTTACATATATAGAATGTATTAGGATATATAGTAGCATACATTAGATGATGTCATTACGTATTTTATTTATAGTATGTGAATTAATTTAAATGTAATTTACTTATTTAAATGTTTACTAAACTGGAATTTTTCTCTTTTTGCAATGTTAGAGATGAGACTCAGGGCTTTATGAATGCTAGGAAGTGGTCTGTCACTGAGCTACCTCCTCAGTGATTTATAATATGTGAATAATATGCAATGTTAGACAGCATCTCTCAACAGTGAATTAGCTGGGAGATTGCAGTTTTGCTGATAGGAAGGCTTGTCTTGCTGCCTGCAAGACAGTTCACAAAAGGGTCACGGCTGATTCAGTGCAATTAGCTATTGACTGTGACACAGAGAAGGTGAACTGTTCCCAACATTTTCACTTCCTTAACCACCCTCATAAAACTGCAGCAAGTCAGAAAGAGTAAGCCTTTTATACCCAGATCATGTAGCTACCATTGGGTTGACTGAAGGATATTTTCTGAAATGCAGATATCATTTTAAAGGTGAATCTATAAAACTCACCATTACTTTTGGGAGAGCCACAATTTGCTCATGCCGTCTGTGTGTGTGTACGCATGTGCCTGTGCATATATAGATAGAGAGAGGGCATAGAGTGTTTTCAGTGTTGTCATTTTGCATAGACTTTTCCAAATGCCATGTAATCCATCAAGAAAACTGCTATCAGAAGCTTGCACTAACATATTGACTGGCTAATCAAACATCTCCAGGAAAAGGTGGCAAGCTCACCTCATTGCCTTTGGTAGAGGAGCAGATGCTGTATTTCAGTTACTTGCAGCCATAGAGCCCTTTGGTGTCCTGGCAAAGGCAGATGAGACATTATTAAGCTACATGTGCTTATTCCACTCTGCTTTAACAGAAGTAAGATGACAGTTGACTTCATTATCTACCATAAAATACGGTCCCATTCAGGGATGCCCAGAACTACAGAGATAAGCTTGGGATAAAGCAAATGTACCAAGTGGCATTAGTTTATTTTATTACATATTTCTTTTTCCATTTTTGTTGTTTTCTTACTCTGCATGTATAATGGCATTTTGGGCAATATTTTTCTAAAAAAAAAAAATGTAAGAAAAAAATAGATTTGGGGGTCCATTTCAGCACTGTGTGAGCATTAGTAAGATACACCCAACACATAGTGGCCAGAGCCTAACACCCCAATCTGGAAACCTTCACAATTGACTCCCAATGTACTCAGAAGTCCAGGCTACCAGCCTGTGTGTGTTTAGGTCCACATAGTCCCGCAGTGGCTTGTTCCCAGGTTGAATTCCCCATTACCCTCCAGAGCCCAGTAATCAGTATGGGTGAAGAGTAGATTTCATTAGTGGGTGTTTCCATGCTTTTGTATTTAAAATTCAGGGGCAAATTGATATTTTAATAGCATAAAGGTACAGGAAACTAAAGACATAAAGCATTCATTTTCCTCCAGCCTAAAAGTTTCAATCGGAAGCTCCTGTATTCCATGCAAAAAGCGCTATTTGGCACATAAAGCCTGATGGCTTCAGAAGAGAATTAGGTGTTCCTAGTCTGCTCGACTCTAAATGCATCAAGACCACACCTTGAACTTGATGACGCCTTTCATTTCCCGAGTGTCCTGGTGTTGTAACTCTCTAACACCCTGTGAACATGGGGGTCAGGTTTCCTCCCGGGCTGCTCCTCTCTTACAGACTCCCACAAACTGTGGAATGAGCTAGTCCCTAATCCGGAGCATTAAATCCAGCCTAAGACTCTCGGGCTTAGGAAGCCAGGCCCAAGCATTCCTGCTTAAGCAGGCAGTCATCAGTTAATCTCTGTAAATGACTACAATTTTGGCAGGTGTCGGCGTACAGAACCAGCTCACATATTAGACCTTTTTTTTAACTTGTCAAGTAATGAGGAAAGAGAAATAAAAATAAATAATGTCATGTGTTGGCCACATAGCCGCTTGCCCCAAGTGGCTTATTCCTCTTTGTGTTCTTAGTGACCCTCTCCGCCCCCACCAAGTTTACAAAGGCAGATACACCGATGGCTACTCTTCAGAGGCTGGCCAGAGGCACCACCACACCTGATGCAATGAATCACACACACACACACACACACACACACACCCCACATCCTCTCCCTGGCCACACACTGTCCTTCACGGTGTTCTCCAGAACCGCCCCTGGGTGCCTTAGGAATGTGAAGCCGAGACACAGACAAAGCCTTGCTGGCCCACATTCCTTCTGAGACCATACAGCTCTCGAGAGTCATGTTTCCTACCATTCTCTTTCCTCGACTGGCATGAGACCACGGAAGGCACTTAAAGGGGGCCACACCACACTTTAAAGGGTTTAGAGCTGGGACTGCAAGGAGGCTTGAGACTATTCAGTGTGGTCGAGAGTGGGACCCTGTCACAAAGAAAAGAGGCAGGAGGAACCAATGAAGGCTGTACATGAAATTTTGTGTACCATGACCGACCGAAGTAGAGGGTTCTAGAAAAAGGAGGTTTTGTCCTTCTGCTGGTAAAAGGATGAAGGAAGTGGCCCAGAAGCTTGGCTTCTTTTGTTCATGGAGCTTTAACCCCTCAAGCTGTAAGGGACCTCTCACATGTGCACCAGCCCCTGCGTGACTTGGGGTGTTTGTGTTTGAGTTGAGTGCTGTGAGCTACAGCTCTGAATGACAGTCCAGATTTGCCTTAGTGATACGTGGAAAGAGGGAACGTTGCATATGAACTACACAAATATTATGCTTAAGCATTTTTTTTCTCTCCATTTGGAGCCAAACAGGTCTTGTTAGTGATAAAAATCACTGCAATATAGTGGGCCCTTTTTCTGGCCTGGAATTTGAGACAGTGTCGGTGGTGCCAAGGGGGCCCGTAGCAGGAAGAAACGGCAAGCCACAGGGATTTGAAACCATAACACAACTTCTACAACTTAATTTTATAATTGTAGCGATTGGAAACTAGGTGTGTGTGGGGGGGGGGGGGTTAGGGCACGGCACAGGGCAGCCTCACTCCTGCCCATGCTGGTATGCAAGGTCCTAAGCTCTGGATTGGCATGGAGTACCAGAAGCAGCAGGCCTGTGGGCAGAAGCCTTAGGCCTCTCCTGGTTGTTTTGAGGCTGCATGACCACTGATGGTAGAGCTGTCAAGGGTTCTATTCAAACAAACCTTTAGGGCGAGGAGGAAGCAAAGAGTGGGCCTCTTTAAAAGAGGAACAGATCTCCCAAGTCCGCTGTGTTCCTGTGGGGGTGGTTCTCTGCTACAGTGTCCAGCTAAATGACAATTTGAAAAGGACGAAGAGAGAGAAACCGGAGGCTCAGCCCTCCTGACTGACCCATGGAAATGTCTCATTTGCCGTTTCTTGGCAACAGGGACACCTACTGCCCCATATAAGACATCTTCCCACCTTGCTTTCATTCCTGGGCCCTGGGGAAGCTGCGAAGACCGGCCGGCTGGCCCCTCCCTCGGGGCTCCCATGGGCCTGGCCTACTAGAAATGGAGGAACAGGCTCAGGATGCACCTTTCTGCCCCGCCCCTCGCAGGGATGTGCCCAGGGAGTGGGCTTCAGGGAAGAAAGGATGCCCCAAGGAGCCCCTATGAAGGAGGAAGCGTGTGCAGGGGCTGACAGAGATATCCTGTGCCTGCCTGCTTGTAACAGGAACTCACTTCCAGGCCAGGCCTTGGCACCTGCACCCAATTTCCTGTTGTAGGGGCATGTTGCTGTTCCAGGGCCCACTCTCAGACCTGCTGGTGGCGGGTTTTCAGGAAGGCAGGGCATTCGTGACCTGGGGAAGGCACCTTCCTTGGATGCCATGGTTCCACACTCACCCTGTGGCCCTAATAAGCAATGGGCTTCTTCCCCAGGCCACTATCAGCAACTCTGCTCTCTAGTGCCTCTCGTTCCACCTACCCAAGGTGTGTTCAAAGAGCTGAATGGGCACTGAGTCCCAGGCCAAGGGAACACCTAGTGGTCTGTGTGATGAAGAAGCTTCTGTCTGCTATGAAAAAATGTCCACGGGTCCCACAGGCAGCCGGCCCAAGGGGCAATTTGAACAAGCTCACCTTGGGGGTGAAGGGAGAGGGAGGGGAAGGATAAGAAACGGCCCCCTCCACAACACGTTTTCTGATCTCTTCCCCCCTCCTTCCCTGCCTCCCTCTCCTCCTCCCTTCCCCTCCCGGTCCCTGCAATAGGACATCGGCAGAAACTAGATGATCAGACCAAGCCCGGGAGTTTGTCCTTTTCCGAGCGGCTCAGTGAACTGGAGCAGCTGCGGCGCACGGCCATGAGGGTCAGCCCGCACCACCCAGCCCCCACGCCCAACCCTCGGGCCTCCTTGAACCACTCCACTGCCTTTAACCCTCAGCCTCAGAGTCAGATGCAGGGTAAGTACCCCGCGGAGCCCACTGCTTCCTGCCCTTGCTGAATCCCAGACATAGAGCTCACCCAGGCTGCCCTTCCCCTGGGGACTCCAAGGACGCTCCTGAAACCCCGTAGCATCTGCTGGGAGCTTATGACAAAAGCGGTGTTCCATCTACTGAGTGTCTCTAGACTAAACGCTGTGGCTGCTCAGTGTGAATAGGGAGGCGTGGCTATGAGCTTCCATATATGTGGGTATACACATACATCCATTGGTATTCTCAAAGATCTGTTCCAGGTACCAAAACCCACAGGAGCTCAAGCGCGTTGCATAATTCATCCTAGTCTAAGCCCATGTGTACCCTCCTGGAGACTCTAGTCCAGTCCTCAGTTGCTGCTAGCATCTAACACACTATATAGACGCTGCGTTAACAATCACTAAATTACATTATTATATATATTATTATTATTATTATTATATAGAGAATCGCAGCAAAAAGACATTTGCAATACGTGTACATTGAAAAAGCTGTACTGTCAAATCACCAGTCTTTCGCTCTAGAGCCTACAGATACAAAGAGCACCTGTATATAAACAGCTGAGGCGTTTGTTTAAGCCAGTTCCGCTGTGCTGTTTTCTTACCTCCCCTTAGTCCTGAGGCCATACATACAACTGTATGTGTGTACAGATGTATGTACGAATGTATGTGTATGTATGTATAAGCACACACATATACACATACAAGTCCAGCATGGTGAGGGGTTTTCCAATTCTTGATGCCTTCAGATTCCTTGTGTAGTTTGTACCTTATATCTGTTCTTTTCAAACTATGAAGAAGGAGGCATGTGTGTACATACGTGGTGCAGGCTGAATCAAGCATAGTATTTTCAGCTTAGTAGTGGGAGTTCCGTTCACCCTGTGGGCCAGTCACCAGCTGCAAAAGTGCTGTGAGAGGCAATGACCGCACATACGCACTGTGCCAACCTAGGTAAGACTCACAGTGCGTTTCTGTAGTAGGGCCGTTGGCGTCGGAGGCTGTTTGCTCAGTGATCCCATTATAATAGCTGAAAGGCGGTTTTCTCTGTGCCAGGTGGGACACAGCTGCATATAAGACATGCTTACAGAAATACTCCTTCTGCAGAGATGCAGGCTTAGGCGACTCAAAGGAAAGACATGGGTGAGCAGCCCATCTGGAAAAAGGGCAGAGGGCCGGCAGCGCAGAAAGCAGAGGTCAGTTTCCTCTGCGCTTTCCGTGGGCGTACAGGAAGCATCTGTGTGATGGGCATCTGAGCCAATGGCTCCCTCTGGGGAAGCTGCACCTGCAGGGCTCACAGAAGCCCACACTGCCCAGAGGTGAGAGAGAACCCCTGTGCCCCCAGACATGGTGTGCAGTTATCACAGCACGTAGGAGGTGGAGGCAGCAGGATCAAGAGTTCAAGGCCAGCTCTGGCTACATAGCTAGTTTGAGGCCAGCCTCATAGGACCCCGTCAGCCCCACTGCACAGCATCTTTTATATATATATAAGAACAGACACAAAAATTGGGCTTTCTTCCTAGGTATGTTTAGGGAAAGGCCCACGAAATCCTTGGTTTCTTGGTGTTTAATGGTGATGAATAGCCATTCAAGATATTCACACTAATTTTCCAAACTGCATTCCAGTGCAGTTGCATTGGTGATTTGGGGCAAATGACACTTTAAGTGAGAGAGATGGGCTGCAGGATGAGGAGGTTAGCATTCCTGAGGGCATTCTCCTGACCTGTGTTTACCGTCATTTAAGTTCACACGTGTCTTCTCCGGGGACTCATGTGTGCAATCGGCCTCTCGCTGCTGCACTGACCACTCGTGAGCCGAGAATGAGAGTTGCCTTTTACTGACAGCCAAACCCAAAACTAGCATTTTTAAAGCCGTGGGAAACCGCGTGGGTGCAGGGTCACATGATAGCCCCACCTGCTCTGTGAAAGCTGCTCTGCTTTCAAGGACCATCTTCTACTCCTGGTCCCTGGAAAATGGAGAGGATGAAGGGTGTTCAGGACAACCCTGGCCTTTGGAACCACCCACAGCACAGCACAAAGGCATTGCCACGGCCAGGTTGCTGGAACCTGAAGCTCTATGCGGCTCTCCATGGCACTGAATCATAACTGCTCATGCAGTGTCCTAGGGGCTTGGTTGATACCTTCGGAAGATATGTGGACTATATTGTGCAAGTTTTTTCTCTCCAGTATGTGAATTTGCTTTTCAGGGATTTCCTTGCCCCAATGACAGACACACAGTTTCAAACTGTGGTTAAGATATAACATGGAAAACTCCTATCACTTTCCTGTGTTCTCTCTCTCTTTCTCTCTCTCTCTCTCTCATTCTCTCTCTCTCTCTCCCTCTCTCCCAGCTGCCCTCTATTCTCTTCCCTCTCCTTCCTTCTCCCCCTCCTCTCCTCTTGCACATTTTTTTTCTTATAAGAAAATACTATTTTATACAAGTCTAGTTTAGAGAAGATTCTTGGATTTTTTTTTCCCCCTTGAAACTCAAACATTTAACAGGGGTAATGTAACAGCCAAGTCCTTCATGTTGTTCCTGGCATTAAGACACAAAGTTAATGCCTGGTCTCAGTTCTAGTGCACATCCATGCCTATTTAAGGTGGGAATGTGAGCAACACAGCAGGGGTTCACAGCTCTCGGAAATGGCAGTCATAATTGTAACAAGACTGAGGCAGTGTCGCCTCAGCACTGCACAGACACAGGAATGACTCTCAGGTTTGTAGAGGGGCTCTGTGGGAGGCAGGGGATTGAAGACTGGAGCCACCCCCTCAGCTCTGCCAGCAAAAGATCATATCGCCTTTCCTTATCTTACCAAATAGGCATCTTGAATAACCTGCACTAGGGTTCCGATGGAGAGGGCGGCAGGTTGCCATGCCACCAAACCAGTGTTTATTTGTTAAGGTTTTAACTTTTAAAAAGCTGACGTTGGTTTCAGCTTCTTATTTGAGCAAGTCATAAAGTGGAGCAGAAAGCCGTTTTGTCATGGCTGCATGTTTATACAAGTGAGGACTCCTTGGTGAACCCCTGCCATGTTTCAAGACTTTTCTCTGTTGTTTTACAGCAGGGGTGGGGTAGATCACGGAGTTCTGGGGTAGTGATGCCCGCTCCCGCACACCTTCCACTCAGGGATGGCTAAGTCAGTCATTTTAAGTCTTGGACTATGGTTTACCAATAAACCATCATGACAGCATGGCTTCCACCTTTATGTGGAGATAAGGATGAGGTATAAAGATACGGATGCAGAACTCCTTCTGACCACATAAGTTAACGGACTGGCACGCTAAGCCTCTTGCCGTAAACTTTCCTTGGGTTCATTGTGATATATCTGGGCATAGCTCAGACTTCACCTTCACCATCTGCTCTGCTCTTTTTCCCTCGGTGATCTTGTGGTGTGGCTTATAGAGAGAAAGACTAGAGTTCTCAGCGCAGAGAGCAAACCTTTGTCACCATTTCTAACATTGTAAGTGATGAACGTGAAGTTAAACCCAGAGCTTCCTGAAGGCACAGGCAGGAAGGTGGCATGGGGGAAGGTGGATGGGTATACTTGTGTTCTGGGTTCAGGGAACAATGCGCTTCAGGTCGACAGGCATTGAGAAGTGTTGGCCTGGCCACCCGTGTAGACGCGGATTGAGTGTGTTCTGTGCTAATTAGCTATTGATGCTGGTGTTGATACTGATAATAACATCAGACTCTGTGTTGGGTGTCTTAAATATGTCATATTTTGGGGGTACCTTACAGATAGGGAGAAAAGAAAACCAGTCAGAATACTGAGCTTCTGAGCACGCCTTAAAGAAGAATGTGTGGGCAAGGGATAGTGGCATGAGAGGACTCCCAGATACTCTGTGCTTTCTTGGGGTGGCTCCTCCCTCCATGCAGGAGTCTCTCTTTTCTGGTCTTTTACACCGAGAGCCACCTTCCCGACTAGCACGTGTCAGCCCAGGCTAGCGAGGCTGCTCTGAGTTAGTCTCATGTGGCTGAGGAAGCTGTGTGCTCAGGCTCCCTCCGGATGCTCAGTGTGCTAACCTGACAGTTAGCCTCCTTCAAAGCCCCTTTGGAAAGATTATGTTCCGCTGCTGTCTGTAAAGTTCTTAGAGGTAGGGTTACCGTGTCAGGCCAACTCTCCATCCACAGAACGAGCAAAAGGAAGGAAGCATTTTCACCTTCCCAAGAAAGGGGCACACGCCTGAATCCACAGAGCAATGCTGGACGAGGATGTGAAGGACCAGCGCCTCTTGTCCTGCCTGCCACCAACGCTCAAGATAGCATAGCAGAGGGAGAGGACCCAGGACGGGGCCTGCAGACACTTCCCACACTGCAGTAAAACATGCAACTTCTCAGCATTGCTCTCTGTTGCTGCCCCCACTCTGTCTCTCTGTGCATCTCCATTTCTGCCTCTGTGTGTCTGTGTCTGTCTTGTCCCTCTCTCTCTGTCTCTGTCTCTCTCTCACTCT